GGGTTTAGGGTTCAGGGTTTCGTGTTTAGGATTTAGGGTCTAGACTTCTGAAGAGGGGGATATAGGGCACTATATGTGGGATTACTATAGGGGTTATTAATGAGGGGGACATTAGGAGTTCAGAGTATGGCCCATGTGAGGTTTCTTGATTTGGGGGCTTAGGAGCTTAGAGTTCAGATCTGGAGCTTAGGGGCTTAGAGTTCAGGGCTTGGGGGTTTAGGCTTTGGGGCTTTCAGGGCTAACTTAGGGGTAGAGGATTCATTTAGGGTTGATGGACTTCGGGTCCCTTAAGATGATGAGTCTGTTGCTCGTGGGGCATGCAGAGACCCATAACATCCCATCATCCTGAAACAAGGTTAGGGTCTAGGGATTGTAGGGTTCGCAGAATATATCCTATGTGATGCTAGAATCCCCTATGATCATGGTACACTCCTACTCCTTAAGCCATAGATCCTAAACCCTACACCTTGTAAGATAGGATATAAAAGTTTTGCGTTTGAGGGATACTGCGCTCCTTGGGCAAATGCGGCCGTTAGTTGGGGTTCAGGGTTCCTCAAGCTCTTGGATCCATTGCAAGGGTCCTAGAGTTACATAGCCAGGTACGCTTTGAGAGCCGTGACTAACAAACACCCATATGGTTTTCATGTGGTACATAGGGCAACCCCAATATAGATAGACCCCTAAATATTGAACAAACCTTATCCCAGGGGCCCCCAAAAAGATATCCCTGATTTTGGGAAACCCCCATGTAACCCTAAACCCTAAACCCTAAGTTCGGCCTTTGGCCCTGTCTGGGTGGTCGCCCCGGTGCCTTCCTCCATAAGAGAAGATGCTTTTTTGTGCGCTTTTGGAGCCTTTGCATGTATTCTTTAGGTGGACCCCCCACCCAGTAATAGTGACTATAGGGGATAATAAGGATTATATTAGGGTCCTCTTATATTCTTATTGTACCACTATTACAGGGTGGGGGGTCCTCCTAAAACATACATCCTGCACACTTGCACCTGTCCTGCCCACACAGCAACCTGCCTCTGTGCAGGATTTGCGGAAGCTTTGTGCTGAGCTGGGGGCTACCCAGGACTGTTGGGGGTCAAAGGTTGAGGAGTTCAGGGTGTCGGGGGGGGGGTGTCTATTCAAAAGGTGAACATCTTCTTTTGTTGTCGGTTGAGGAAGCTTTCCAGGTCAGGCTTAAGATTCCAGAGTCCTTGGGCTTCTTCAAGGTCTGGTAGATGTTATCAAAGCTGGCTCTGACTATCCATGCCAGGCTTTAAAGACTGCGGCCCCGCCCTGCAGCGGTTGTATTGGTAGTAATAATAAACCCCGAATAAGAACCGCGCAGAAGAATGGTAGAGGCTACCTCAAATTGACCTCAACACGATATTGGGACTTTGCTAACCAGATCCTGGGGTGGAACAACTCTAGGGCTCAAGAGCAGCGTCTATGGCAGGAGCGCAGGTGGAGCTCTTTGAATGCCAGGTTGGGGGCAAACTTGGAGAGTTAAGGGCGCTCAGTAAGCTTAGGTGTTTCTGGGGTTCAGAAGTTTACGGTTTAGGGTTTGTCTGCTTAGGGATTCAGGGTTTAGGGGTTTAGGGTTTTGAAGTTTAGAAGTTTAGGGTTTAGGAGATCTAGGGAGATGAAGGGTCAAGCGGGCTTAGTAAGTGTACTGATAACCCCCGCAGCCCAAACAGAAACCACAGGTAACCCTGTGATGAGCTTACTAAGTCGCCGACCCCTCAGGAAGGATGTAGCTACAGCTCATAGGCAACCTGGGACCCCAAGCTGTAGGTGACTAAGGGTTGCACACTCAAAGGTTTGGGGCCTAAGGCGTGTGCAGTATACAGCTTAGAGGCGGAGGGTCAAAGGTCATTAAGGGCAGCCATCGCAGATGTCGTGGGTGCGGTATTTTGCCTAGAGATTCTATAGGCTTTCTAGGAGATGGGCTTGTGAAAACGAAGGAGACACGCGGTCTGACTGTAGAAGTTCATGATTCAGCAGATGGTTCGGGCTTTGTGGTCTAATTGTGGATACAGAAGCACAATCTACCCTAAACCCTAAACCCTAAACCCTAACCGAGAATCCAGTCAGCTTGGCTGACCAAAGTGATCAAGGGATGCAAAATCATCAATCCTTCAGGCAAAGTGTGCGGCGCTTGAAGACTGTGGCTATGTGCCCTGAATACCTCCATTCCGAGCCCGCATGTGGGAGTATGACACGACTTCTACGGCTATTCAGGTTGATTATGAAGATTTGAATGCGTTGTGGCCTTGGAAGAGTGCAGTATTTGCCTGAATACGACAGACCTAAAGACTGTAAACTGATGCGGAGATCGCCCGAAGCCTAAACTCAGATTCCGCCTAGCTGCCAGGTGTCAGAAAGCGCGCTGCTTTCTCGGAATGCTGACGCAGACACAGTCGCAATGGTAGGGTCCTGGGTGCTGGGCTTCTGTGGTACAGGAATCAAAGATTATTCCAAAGGGATAATGGAAAAGAAAATGGAAACTACTATAGTATATTGGGGTTATGTAGGGATAATGGAAAATAAAATGGAAACTACTATGATGGCACCAAAGCCCTGAGCCCATACCAACCCGTAGTGAGTGCTGTACTCGTATCCCTGCTTGGGCACGTGCGGCCTGAAAATCGCCAAGCGTCCGCAGACAAAGTGGCAAGACGCCACAAGTTCTAGAAACCCAGTGACCTCCCGGAGGTTGGATCAGACGTGCCACTAGATATCCCTATCCGAGTGTTGGCTTTGCCGTGTCAGACCCTAAACAGTACACCAAAACTTTAAAGCGTCTGTCAGGACGTCGGTTTTTTGCACCGCTTCACGAGAAGATTGTTTTATCTGCCTCCAACTAGCATTAATGAAGCCCCCTACCCCTCTAAAATCCAACATTTCCTCCATATTGATTATAGTACACCACAGTGAGAATGTTCAACGAGGGTGGCTTTAAATATTTCTGTGGGAGAGTATTCATTCGTTATGGCCGCCTACGGCCATGTGTAGCTCATTCTGTACTCCCCTACACGTGAGGAAGACAAACGTAAGAGCCCCAAAAGGAACTACATCAGTAGGCAAACACGTCAGTCATAATCATAATTTAAGCCCGCCAAAGTTGCCAGGATTTTCGCAATATGGCTACCAAGCCCCGGCCCTATCACCCACTGTATTTTCCCAGTTTCCATCTAATGTTTCTCTGGTCCTTTTATTTCTCCATGATCTGGGATGGCAACCCATTTAAAATCCCTCTAGAGAAAGAGTTTCTTGCCAAGATGCAGTTGGAAGCTGCAACAAAAACTAGGCAGCAGGTTTACCCTCTCCAAAGCTGGCATGGAACCGATTTATGGTTTAGGAGTTTTTTGGGTTTAGGGCTTGTAAGGTTTAGACTACTGCCCATGGTGCCGCCCCAAGATTCACAACTAAAACCCAAACCGTCCCTAACAGACTGCCCGCAATAAGCCGCCTGCCATTCATTCATTCCTCACGAACGCTAGGCAGAAACAACTCAAACTAAGTAACTGCCTATGTTATAACCAGGTTTGAAAATGTGTCCTTCTCCAGTCGTTATTATTTCATAGAACTCGCGTTTTTATTGTTGCTGCCACTCTTGTCATTGCTATTATGCTTTTTCGTAGGGTAAAAAGTATATGTATGAATATGTAAAGAGAGAAGTGGCTGGTCTTACATCGGTACTGGGTGTATCGGAGTCTTCAAGCTTAGAACTTGTTTAGCCAACAGAAGAACTTGAACCTTTTTGGGACACGGTTTAGGGAGGTCTCTATAATGAACTTTAAGATTCTTTAGCCTTGGTTACTAGGGAAGAGAGAGAATACTGCACCGCACGTAGAAGAACAAGAAGAGGAAGAAGTGGCAGGTCAGGAGGCTCCGGGATAGGTTTCAGCGAAGCATATTTAGGGGATGGCTATATTATAGTGTATTATGGTATATGGCTATATTATGGAATGTTAGAAGGGTTATATCAGGGTTATATGGGGAGAATGGAAAAGAAAATGGAAGCTACTCCTGACTGCCTTCTTTGCAAGCCAGACCTGCTGAGCCAGGCGTGGCAGCTTTCGGGTTGAGGGTTGAATAACATAGGGTTTAGGGTTTAGGGTTGAAGAACATGCTTTGGGTCATTCCCCCTCCCAGTAACTGTCCTTAAAGGGGCCTTATTTAGGGGGCTCTTATAACTCTTATAACCCATTGTGGTAACAGTTACTGTAAGGGGGAATGACCCGAGACATGCTCAATGCTCAATTCGACATTGCCAAAAGATTGCAATCCACATGGTAGGCACTCCAAGCACAAGCAGGGCCCGTAACCCTAAACCCTAACCGTACTGTTACACACATCCTCAAAAGCAAATTTTCGGGTTGTAATGTGTTGCAGGTTGCGGTCAGAGGTGTTTTCACACTCAAGGTTTCTGTTCAAGTCCTCGAGAACAGGTGTACTGTCCGTGGGTTAGTTACATGTAGGGTCGTGTACCTGCAAATGGGAAACTGCCAGAATCTGCCGTGAAGTAAGTCGGAGCCGCTGCAGAAATGGCATGGCTTGCACGTAGAGAGCATGCTCGGCCTTCGTTTGCGAAAACAAGTCATGCCGCACAGATTGTCACAGGCTTTTGATGGTGGCGGCTGGTGCCAGCAACCCCTTTCAGGTCAAATGTTGGGATGCTGCAACCGAGAATGCTGTTGCAGTTGTTAGCAGCTGCTATTGCATTCTTGCAGCACGCATATGGATTGGTGCCATGTTCGGCAAACATAGGCTTATGCAATCCATGGATGTGAGTTCCTGCATAGAAGTTCTACCCCCTGAACCTTGTGTAGTCACAAGCCTGGTGCGGCATTGAACTCCCTCTCACTTGTATGTTGCCTGATCCAACACCGGGTCCGGAAAACCTTGTATTTGTGTATCAAAAATCCGTATGAGAGCTCTGCCAGCCCCCCAAAAAGTTCTGTCTGATTCCAGTGCGCAACCTCTTGTGTCCATGTGGCAACGAGGAGGGAGCAGAAGAGGAAGAACAGGCAGGGCATGCAGCTTCTGGGGCTAGTGGCCACGCGGTTTAGGGTTCAGGCTTTATAGGATTTTGGGCTTTATGGTTTCACTGTAGGGTTTATAGGGTTTGTAGGGCTTAGAGTAGGGTATTGCCCCAATCAACTAGAAGAACAGCTAGATAATATATCAATGTTTTCAAAGAAGCCTCTGAATTGAATCTTGACCCCTTAATCGTAAATCCTAAGCCCCAAACCCTAACCCCTAATCTTCGTGGGTATGGGGCATGAAGAGGGTTGGGGGCTCAGGGACCTCGGAATTTCAACCCTGACGGATGGCATCCGGATTGTGTAGGAAACATGTTAATGTGAGGGAGGATTATGGGTGGTTGTAAAAATATTGGGCCTCTTTTGGTGGTAGAGTTATAGCTTATGTTATGGCACCTATTACTTAGGGATACCAAAATGGGACCCTTATTTTGAGAACTACCCATATGAGGATTCTGGGGACCTTGACCCCTGTACTGTAAGTGTCATATGATAGTCATACACCGTCATTGTTGTGGGGGTTATGGTAACCCAAACCCACTCATTAGGGATCATTCAATGTTCAGCATTTGAGGGCGGCTTGTGAGCGTTAAGAGCTTCTGCTGAAATGAGGCGAGGCTTTTCTATGGTGAATTTGAGATGATATTTCGGAAATGTCCCGGGTAGACTCTTCAGGCTAAGAAGTATTGCGCACAAGACCTCAAAATCGTAGTCTGCAACAAAAATAGTGTTGCAGATGCCTCCGACATCTCAGAGACTGTGATACAGTTGATACCGAAACCCCCTTATGACCCAAAGTGCTTCATCCCTAACAACCCTAAAACCTATTAATGTTATTGTTGTATACCCCGCCTTGTGGGCTTTCTAGAAGGGTTTAGGGGCTCAGTCAGGCTGATTCTTAAACCGTCTTAAATCTGACAAAATCTGACTTGTTGGACGGGGAATGACAATGGCTTTGCGGAACAGGGTCGAAGGGAGCAAGCTTCAATCCCTCGCAGTTGAAAATACCGAGGGCTACAGCCGAAATCATACTGTTTAGGAGCACCTTATGCCTTATGCTGTACGGTGCCATTCGTACACAAGACCTTTCAAGCCCCACAAGACTTCGAAGTGGACACTTTTTGTGGCACCCCTGGCGAGTTTGTGCTTCAAGGAGGGCGATGAGGAAGAGGAAGAAGAGGAGGAGCGCCAGGAACCCGGCCTTTTTGGGATGAGGGGCTTGTGTGGGTTGCTTTCGCCTATGGGTCTGCCCGTAAGATATCTTTAGAAGAACCCTTTCCTCTTTTAAGCACCTTTCCCCCAATAACGCAATCTGGGCGGGGTCGATATCCAGAAATGTTTAAGTTGGGTTTTTATGGTTTCAATTGGAGGGTTCTCAGGCTATCGCGGAGCCGCGGCCGCAGGATGTTTTTGGGTGAGTTTCTGTGACAGAGGGGAGCCCAGCCTTCAGAAACTAACGTATATACGCAGGAAAGATATCCGCGTGAAGATTCCTTAAACCCTAGTTTAATCCTTATATGCCCCAATCCCTAGACCCTAACCCTGAAACCCGAAACCCTTATCCCTAAACCCTAAACCCTAAGCCCTGTGCCTTAAGCCCTAAACCCTTAACCCTAAGCAGGCCTGTGCTTGGCCCAACCTGGCTATCAGCCCTCAGGTTCCTCTTCGGAGGCGTGCTGAGACATGTGGATGACAAGAGTTTGAAGTGTAATTTGACGGAATGTGCACTCCTCCCAAATGTAGGGTTTAGGGTGTTGAGAAAGCACTTTTTTCCCCGTTTTGGGGTCCCAAGACATTTATGGAATACTTGGAGGGTCATGGGGACTTAGTAAGCAGGTTAAGAAAGAGGATAATTCTATCATATGGGTTATTGACTTAGTTACTAAGTCCCCATGACCCTCCAAGTAAGCCATGATACTCAAAAAGGGGGACCTTTTAGTCCTGGGTTGCTGGGGATCCTAGAAGTTGTCAGTAACCCAATCAGGCTCCGCAAGCCGAGGGCTCGGAACGTAATGTCCTAAACAGGCAACTTCCTTCAAAGGACGTTCATGGGGACCCGAAAAAAGGAACCCCAAGTAGGAATAGAATATAATGGGAAAAAACGACCCTGGCAGGCATGTTCCCACAATATTCCTACTTCATTCTTGGGGTTTCCTATTTGGGCTCCCCTTTAAAAGCCTTTCTATTCCTACAGTGCCATATTGTTGTTCTAGATGCTGCTAGTGTGAATGTCCCTGCAACAGTCCTTTAAAGCTTGGAAGCCCCATTGCAAGGTCCCATGTCCGCCCGTGCCCGATTTGCAGACCCAGAGGCGCATGTCGAACCGGGTCATTGTTGGAGGTAGTTTGTCAGTTTTAAACCTTATGCAACTACACGGGCGGAACATAGCCTTGTGCTTGTGTATAGCAACGTGCCAACTGTGAACTTGGGTATTTAGGGTCTGGTGCTATAAGGCTTGTAGCTCAGGGTTGAGTGTTCTGAGATTTGGGTTTGGCTTTAGGAAGTTTCTCATAAAGTGCTAGGCAACCTCGTGAGCCATATGTTGACCGGAAAAGTTTGGGACCCTAAGTACTAAGCCCTAGCACTAGACCCCAAACCACTAAACCTTAAACCCAAAGCTCGGGAGGCACAGTCATAAGGCAGCTTGTCGCGACTCCTCTTTTGGCAGCCCAATTGTTGCGCATTCTACCCGTTGCTATGAAGGTTCCTGGGTCTTTATATGACCAATGTAGTCCCTGCATGGGGTGCTGCGAAAGGATTCCAAAACCCCAGGGTACTGAGTGAACCATCAATCAACAGCCGAACGGATTGTTGCTCTTTGGTTTTCAGGCATGTAGAGTGACCCTAAACTCACAAGTCTCAAAACGGGGCTTTCTCAAAAGAAGACCTTAAGGGATGCAGGGGGAGTACAGCAGAGACTTGTCGGGATGTCGACTGAATCTTAGTTTCCGTTCAGTGTTTGGGGATTAGGGCGATGCCAGCTAGATTCTGGTTTCAAGTCTATGCTAATGAATTCTTTCTGTTCTGTTTCCCTAGAACAACTCGATTCGGTACTCAGAACTTTGAGCAGAAAACCCTCAAGCCTTGGACTCCTTGACCCTAAAACCCCAAACCTTGAAGTCCTAAATTCCAAACCCCTAAACCCATCAATCCTTGAACTCTAGAACCCCAAGCCCTACGCTAAACCCCTCAATCCTTGAATTCTCAAACCCCACGCCCTAGGCGAAACCCCTCAATGATTGAACTCTCAAGCCCCAAACCCTAGGATATCAGTTTTGAGGAACCCTAAACATTAAATCCTTAAACCCTAAACCCCTAAACCTTAAACCCCTAAAGCCTAAGCCCGTAAACCCTAAACCCACAAACCTTAAACCCCTAAAGCCTAAACCCCTAAACCCCCTAAAGCCTAAACCCTTAAACCCAAAACCCACATGAAGAGCCCTGCGTGCAGGGTGCCTCAGCAGCTCTGAAGGGCCTTACAGGAGCTGAGGCTGGTTTTGTTTTGTAAGGTTTCTTTACAGGTTTAGAGGATTGTAGGGTCTAAGGTGTTTGGGGTTTGGGGTTTGGAGATTTTTCGTAAGGTTTCCTTTAAAGGTCTAGAGGAGTTTAGGGTTTAAGGGGTTTTGGGGGTTTAGGGTTTAGGTTTCCTTTAAAGGTTTAGAGGAGTTTAGGGTTTAAAGGGTTTTGGGGTTACGGGTTTGGGGTTCGGAGGTTTAGAGGGGTTAAGGTTTCAGGGGTTTAGGGTTAGGGTTTGTGGGGATTATGTGAGGATCATACAACACATGGGTTAGCATGAGTTTTGCTTGGGTTTGTGGCTTTTTTTATATGGGTTTATGGGGATGTTGCAGGAGTTTATAGGCATGATGTAATGGGTTGCAGCATTTATATAGGGGTAGGCTGGGGTTTCAAGGCTCCCTGTAAAGGTGTTTGTGGGATCTCAAGGGGTGGATTGTACAACATATATATATATATATGTACACATAATCCTCGCAGTAGTCCCTATATAACCCATTGTAGTAGTGTTCATTTTCTTTTCCATTCCTTCATTCCGAGCCAGCCAAAGGCCAGTAGTTGCACGCCTCATGGAATCCCATGTCTGAGAGTTGTTCTGAAGGTCCGTGTCTTCTTTTTTCTACTTCGGCGACCATATCAGATGATTTTAAGGACTCGCGAAAGTTTTGCGAAAGAAGATGCACAAGGATTACCTGTTTTCGCGAAAGACGTGTGGCGGCAGCGTCTTTTAGTAAATTAAGATGAACCACTGCAGTGTCTCTCTGTAATCCATTGGTGCGGCAGCCTAAATTTTCAGTTAGGTCCTTCACATGTTGGTATCCAAGTAGATGCCCCAAGTTGACCCACACGTGAAAAGATGCGCCGCAAAAGGTTCCGGAAAGACCCCAGGAAAGAAATTGGAACAGACACAGCGTAGCCCCTTTCAAAAAGCAGAGTGGTCTTAATTACATCTGTTCAGGTTCCGCCCATGTTGTTTGAGGGGCCTGTAAACCAGAAGTCCCCTTTTCTTAAAGGTGCAGGGCGCGATGGTGGAGGTGGCCCTCTTGGAAGGGCAGGCCGGACAAGCCATTTGAGCAAGGTGAACTGTTGAGGGTTTAGGGTTCAGGGCCTGGGGTCTGGGGTCTGGTTTCAGGCCTTAGGGTTTAGAGTTTAGGGTTTACGGTGCTTCCTAGCACCAGATTGAGTTGAGGGAGCATAGGGTTTCATAATTAGTTCAGGTGCATGTATGGCTGTGGCCATACGTTGTCGCTAACATGTTGCTTTGGGCAGGAGATATCAGAATTGCATGTGAAGCTGTGTGAGGGAATGATATCTTTGAATCTGCTCTATGACCTCAAAGTGCAAACCTGCTAGCCCGGGTTAATAAGCGGCGGATACCTCGACCGCAGGCGGAGGAAGCCTACTGGGAGGAGACCAACAGGAGCGGAATTCTGGGTTTAGGATTTAGGGAGGGGTTTAGGATGTAGGGCTTAGGGAAAGGAATGCTGGGTTTCCACAGATTTGCGTTCCCTTTTTTGTTTTAGGGTTTAGGGTCGGTGGAAAATCCTTTCAGAAGGATTCAGTAGTATTTTGGGGGGTATATGGAGGGTTGGGAAATGCGCATTTTGTGCGAAGGAAATTTCTTTTTTTGGTGGAGGTTTTGGAGTTTTAGTGTCAAGGGCTTTCCAAAATACAATGGCCTACATACCCATGAATTTGGACTGAAAGACCCTGATTATGGATATTTGGGTGGACCTTACACATTAAAACCTAAACCCTAAACCCTAAACCATGCCCTTTAGAGGGGTTTTGTGAAGACGTTGGAGATTCCGGGCTCAGAAGCTGAGAAAGGCTGCAGGTCTGTTTCAGGGTTTGTTGCTGTTTAGGGTTTAGGGTTTTAGGGGTTTAGGGGTTTTGGGGTTTTGGGTTTAGGGTTTAGGGTTTAGGGGTTTAGGGTTTCTGTTTTAGGGTTTAGGGGTTTAGGGTTTTAGGGGTTTAGGGTTTAGGGGTTTAGGGTTTAGGGTTTGTGATTGGGAGTTGGGGCTTCGGGCATTTTAAGTCGTCTTAATCCTCGGAGTCTTAATATCCGGTGGAAGTGCCTAGTTGACCGTACACTGGTTCATTGGAGTTTGGGTGTTGGTTTGGGTGAACGTTTCGAAAGGCTCCTTGCCAGTCTGGAAGCTAATGCTCATTTGCGCAGTGCATCTCGGTAGCGTCCTAAAGCCTAAGCCCTAAACCCTGAAGTTCTAGATAACACTAGTGACACTTGTGTGTCGTAATGTGCCTACCTAGCCTCAAACCGCCCCTGGAAAGATGATCAAGAAACACAAGCCACCGCAATCTCCTCGGATCCCAACTCTTACTAAGGGGCCTTGGGCATTTGTACCATGGGATCCTTGAACTCCAATTGTTGAACCCCAGCCCCAAGCCACGCCCCACACCACCCACCCTCAACCTTGAACCCTAAACCCTGAACCCTAAACCCTAACCCCCCACCCTAAACCCTAAACCCCAAACCTTAAAACCCAAACCCCTAAACCCTCGGCAACCAGGAAGCTAAAGGAGGCTTGGGACAACCCTAAGCCAAAGGGCGCCAAAGGCAAAGAGAAGGGCAAAGGAAAGGGAAAAGGAAAGGGCAAGGCCAGGAGAAGGGTTCAGGGTTTACTTGGACCCTCCAATGGTTTTCCTTTTTGGGGTTGGTGATGGTTTTTTGGTTAGGACTCTTATTAGGACTATTAAAACGGTACTGCATTGGATTTTTTACGGTTAGGGCTAAGGATTTCAGTCCCTCCGAGTTTGGGATTTGAGGTTCAGGGGTTAAGGGCTTGGGGGTCTTGAATCTCTCCGAGTCCCCCCAGATGGGGTTTCCCTCACCCACAGCGAAATCAGAATTCAAGTAGACCCCATCCAGAAGGACCATATTCCGCGGATTCGTTGTTTTGAGGTGTTTCATTTGTGTCTCGGCACGTGGGGCTTGGTAGCTGTTTGGAGGCTTCTTGATGACAGCATTAACCCTAAGGGTCCAAGTACCTAATACTCATATACTTCACCAAAACCTGTACTATAACTACTATTACTCAAATCCCAAGTACCTAAATATTGGGTACTTGGACACTTAGGGTAAGGTCTTCAACCCGAGCTCATGGCCCACTGGTTTAGATCTCCTCACCGTGTAATTAGGACCTTAGACCTTGTGTGTGTCTTTCCATATGTTCCTGTTGTGTTGTTGCAATCGTAACTTCAGTGGTGCGCTAGGACACAGTGATTACCGAAACTGCATGTGTAAACAAATTTCACCTAGTGTAGTTGCCTCGGCTGTGGCGAGTTCGCAGGTGCGGTTATGGGTTTTTTTACAGGCATTTAGTCCGCTGCTCGTATCAGACAGGCACTCCGCCTCCTAATATTGAACCTTCACATCAGATTGTTGGGTGTTGCTAAGAGTTTCGGTGGGGCCAATTACTCTGTACCCTGAAACAGGGGTTCCCGATTACTTTAAGCATCCTAATGGCTTCCTCAACCGTAGGAAGCCGAATGATCCCAAAAAGAAGCTATGCAAGAGCCTTAGGACCTTAGGGTATAGGGTAATGGAAGGTACCCGACACCCTAAGCCCTAAGCTTTAAACCGCGCGTGACCTGCATTTAGCAAGCCTGCCGGGCCCTTGACGAGTACCATTGCCTTTCATTGCGGATCCCTGGTGTGCCTTTATACCAGCTATAGTCTGAACTCCTTACAGTGGGGTATGTAGGAGTTTATATAGGGCAACGTCTCTGAGTTAGGGCTTATTAACGGGAGTACTCGGAGTTAGAAATAGAGCTCAT